TAAGTTTTCATGTAATCAATTCTATTGATTCTTTTATAGTTTCTGCCTCTGGTCATGCCAAGAAAAGCCTTCCCCACCCTGAAAATCAGATCAATAATTTTTATTCTCTACTATTTTCAAATGCTTCTTAATAGTTTTGCTTTTCACATTGAAGGTTAGACCCATTTGGAATTTGTTTAGATGAGTGTATAAGGCTAAACTTACATGGGAATTTTTTCCCCCCAGATGATAAGCCAGTTTCCCCATCACCTTTGGAATGACTGTCCAGGCCACACACTATATTCTCATCTATTTATTTGGGTCTCTTTCTCGATTGTCTAGCTTCTTCCATTGCTTTGCCTGTCCTGTGCTTGTACCTTTCTATTTCAGTTATTGTAAATTTATAATATATTTAATATTTTGTAGGACAAGTCCTGCTTCATTGCTTTTTTCCTGACTCTTCAAAGTTTTCTCAGATGGTAGCCTCCATAATTTCCTTTGTCACTTGCTTCCAGTAGAGAATGGATACTGTTGACACCTAGGGGTAGTAATGAGTATGTCCCCTCATCTCACATACTCAGGGTGAAAGAACTCCAGCCTAGACACGACCCATTTCTTGCCTTGGGTCTGATTTGGTTTAAATCAGTAATGAAGCCGATGGAAAGGAGAGCAGGTCTGCCGTAGACAGCAGTTTGGGGGATGGGAAACAGCACTTTGGAAAATATGGTTGGAAGTTAAGGTTATTTAAACTCAAAAATGTGGCGAAGAACCAGCCTGATGAAGTCCAGGCTTTCACATTCGAGAGAAAAGGCAGACAGTTTTTAGGGTGGGGAAGGCCTTGAGCAGGCAGAGCAGAAAGCAGTCCAGAAGTCACGTGTTGATGGAATCAACTGCATGGTAGTGGCACATTTAGAATGGCAAGAATGATGCTGGGACTGAAAAGGGGCAGCGTGGTACAGAACAAGCAGGCGATGGCCTTCCTGCCCCTGCTGTGGGCCCGCCTTCTCCAAGCTGGGCGAGCACTTTGTTCTGCTGTTCCTGGGGTGGGTGAGAAACCTGGTGGTTTTAAAAGGTTAGCCAAGAGGGCTGCCCTGGTGGCACAGTGGTTGGGAGTCCGCCTGCCGATGCAGGGGACACGGGTTCGTGCCCCGGTCCGAGAAGATCCCACATGCCGCGGAGCGGCTGGGCCCGTGAGCCATGGCCGCTGAGCCTGCGCGTCTGGAGCCTGTGCTCCGCCAACGGGAGAGGCCAGAACAGTGAGAGGCCCACATACCGTAAAAAAATAAATAAATAAAATAAATAAATAAATAAAATAAAAGGTTAGCCAACAGATTAGAGGACCTAGAATTATTAATCTCAGAGAAGAGCAAACAGAGGAATAATTTGAGCTTAAGGAGAGTTCTCACACAGAAAAGAGTAAACAGTTTATCTCCCTCTGGGCTGAAACAGGAAATTTGTGATAAAAACCACTTACTTTACTGTGATGACAAAACATCATGAATGAAAGGGCATTTCATTGATAGCCTGAAGGGCTGAGTGCAGAGATACAGTAAGTCCCCTACATATGAACCTTCAAGTTGTGAGCTTTCAAGGATGAGAACGTGCATTCGCATGTCCAATCATGTAAGTTAGTTCACGTGTCTGGCGTACATTGTCACATGCGTGCATCCTCTACGAGTGGTTGTGCTTTTGCGTACTTTACAGAACTGTGTAGAGTACAGTAGTACGGTATCTTTATTTCAAGCCCAGGATGACCAGGAGCAAGTGTAAAAGCCGCGGTGATGTAGCTGGTACTGCTAAGAAGCGCCAGGAATTGGAGGCCCAGAGAAAGGGTGAAGAGAGACAAGAGGAAGAAGAAGTAACTGAAGAACCGAAGAGATTCACGACACAGGAAATGGCAAGGGGATTTCTTTTATGTGAGGAGGCACTGTTAGTTTTTGAGGCACAGCACCTGCACGTAGAATGGTACACGAAGGTTGCAACAGCCGTTCAGGATGCAATCCAGTGCTACCACGTCATCTACGATGAAAAAAAAGAGCTACTACCCAGATATCACTGGATCGTTTTTTCAAGAGGGTAGATAGAATTGAATCCAGCAAGGAACCAGAACCTGTGCCATCAGCGTCACACATGAGTGACACTGCAGCTCGCCCTCCGTCTCCTGTTGCTGACGATCCTTCAGCTCTACCATCTCCCACCCCCTCTCCCTCCTCCAGTCAGTAACTCTTCTTGCCTGTTCACTCGATGCCAGCCCCTGGATGCCAGCGGTTGTAGTGTACTGCTGTACTTTTCAGGATACTGTACTGTAAGATTAAAAATGTTTTCTTTATTTTTGGTTTGTTTGTTTTTTATGTATTATTTGTGTGAAAAGTATTATAAACCTATTACAGTACAGTACTATATAGCCGATTGTGTTAGTTGGGTACCTAGGCTAACTTTGTTGGACTTACGAACAAATTGGACTTACAGACTCACTCTTGGAACGGAACTTGTTTGTATGCAGGGGACTTACTGTACTCAAATGCTCACATTTCCCTGGGAAACCTGGTGGGGGCTTTTTAAACTGCATTTTCCCGTCTCCCCATTACCGCTGCAGGGAGCTGGTCGTGTCTTCCTCAGGGGTGTCAGTTATGGAATCTCTTACTGGACACCTCTTGGAAACAGCATAGACCTTCAACACCATAGTGTGGGGGTCTTAACTGTAGGTGGGGGATTGTTCCCTAACAAACCCACGGATTTATGGAAAACATAATTTGTGTGGCGTATCTGGGTGACTTTGAAGAAATTCTAGACTTAGCACTGTTTAATAAGAGCTATAGGGGACTCTCACTCGTCCACCTGGTCTTAGATGCCTGGGTTTCCCCGGTGTTCACCCTAGGCCCTCATCTCTTCTCAGATGCATTTATACCTTCCCCCGTGGGCAGCCGTCGCCTCTTCTATTGATGACTGACTCCATATCACCATCACAGTTTGCTCCTAAGCTCTAGACCCGCATTTCTAACTGCCTGCTGGACGAGTTCACAAGCACTTCAAACTTAACAGGTCTAGAAGTGAGCTGCATCTGAACCTTCCCTGCAGACCTTGATGAGTGACGTCACCACTGACTCAGTAGCCAAAACCGAAGCCCAGATTCCTTCCCCTTCCTTATCTTCCACCATCTTCTGTTCCGTCTCTGCCCTGCGTGTCTCCCCCACCTGCCCCCTCTTCTCCCTTCCGAGTGCCGTCACTCGCTTCAGACCTCAGGTACTTCTTGCCTAGATTTTGGAGAACCTGTGCTTTTGCTCTTTTCCAATTCATCCTCCAACAGGCAGTCCAAATTGTATTTCTAAAATACACACCTGCTAGGAATCGTTAGATGGCTTCTCATTATTTCTAGGACCTCAGATCTGGCCTATACTCACATGTGTCACTTTATTGCCCACTTCTACCCAGCTGGGACTCAACCTTTCGGACACACTGGACTCCTGCAGTTCTGTCTCTGCCCTCACTCTCTCTTACCTCCTGCCCCTGCGTATGTCTGTTTCTGTATTGGATAGGCTCACCCCCCTGCCCTTGGTGTTCTTCCTCTGCACTCCCACCACCCTCTTGTGGAACTGTATCGTAGTTCCAAGCACTGCCTGTTTATAAGACTTTCTCCACTATTAGACTGAGCTCCTGGAAAGCAGAAACCATGTCTTCCATAGCTGTTTCTCCCAGCCTCACATAGAGGTGCATAGAGGTGGCTAATAAATATTTGTTGAAAGGCAGTGTATGAATAACATATTCAGTAGAGCTTTAAAAATTATCTAGGAAGGTCTAAGTTTTTATTTATTATAATTTGAGTTGAGAATTTCCACCCCAAAGCTATTTTCTAATTGGGTAAATAGAGTCTTGAGTGTCTATTTTGGCCTCTTAGTACTAATTTCACTGTGGCAGGATTCAGAGGAATTTCAGGGGAGGGGGTGTTCATATTTTATTCTTTCTCTTTCTTCCTCCCTCCCTTTATAAATCTCGTCCACTTGATAGCACTGTGGAGAAGATTAAATGAGATGAGGCATACATAGGACACATCTATATATGTGTTGTGTGCCCAACACATGTAAGCTGTGTTACTCACAAGGCAGAGTGGCAGCTGGTACATTTATACCATGAATATAACTCCCAGTTAGATGCTAGAACGCTGGTGTCAGCCGATCAACCAACATTCTCCTCCCTGTGGAATACCTATTTGGGAAATCTGGTTGCTGGGGAGAGCAAGATAAGGACAGACAGCTGTGTGATTATAAAGGCTCTAGAAGTCTAGGGAATTCCCCGGTGGTCCAGCGGTTAGGACTCTGTGCTTTCACTGCCGAGGGCACAGGTTCGATCCCTGGTGGGGGAACTAAGATCCCACGAGCTGCGCGGCGCAGCCAAAAAATATATAATAATAATAATAATAATAAATAAACTGTTCCTAAAGGATCTAGAAGTCTGATAAGCTGGTCTCCCCACCAAATAAGAACCTATTTACCAAGTTAATTGAAAGGCCCACAGCATCCACCATCTGTCAGGGCTGGGGCATCATTTTTTTTTTTAATTGTAATAAAATATATACAACATAAAATGTACCATTTTAATTATTTTTTCAGGACACAATTTATTGGCATTAAGTGCATTCACAATGTTGTAAACCATCACCATTATCTATTCCTAAAATGTTTTTATCACCCGAGGCAGAAACTCTGTTGACCATTAAGCAATAACTCCCCATTTCCTACACACCCCCTCAACCCTTGGCAACCTCTAATCTATTTCTGTCTCTATGGATTTACCTGTTCCAGATATTTCATGTAAGTGGAATCACGCAATAGTTGTCCTTCTGTGTCTGGCTTATTTCATTTAGCCTAATGTGTTCAAGATTCATCCATGTCGGAGCATGTGTCTGAATTTGCTCATCTCTTCTTACATGAAAACTTTCCTCTTGATGCCCCATGAGGACCACTTTTTTCATGCTTCTGCTCGTTCTGATCATACCCCCTTTCTTCTTTTCAACATGTTTTCAGAGCCTCCCCTTCCGGAAGTAGACTTTTTCACTGTGCACGGAGGGCCTTTACCACGCCTGAGACTGAGGAAAGCCAAGGAGAAAAATGGACCCATCAGGTCAGTAGTGGCCTCTTTTCCATGGCTGCCCAGTGATCTCCATGGAGTGTTTTGAAAACTTTGGTTTGAGTGAGGAGGAGACTTCTCTTTAGGTGGCTTCACTGGAGTAGTTGAGTCAGTGCAGTCAGTACCTCATTTTTTGTTTCCTTGGGTACAGACTGGGCCTTTAATTCCAGCTAGCACCCTCCCTAATGAATAGAGAGACTTGTAAAGGACCAGAGACAAGCATTTGGGCAGCTGAGCTCGAGAAATTAAATCCGTTCCATTGGTCATTAGATGAGCACTGGTTGGGTGCCCGTGACATGTCAGGCTATCACTTTGCACTCACGCCTCCAGGTACATCCTTTAGTGATGGTGGATCAGGAACATCATTTCATTTACAAAAAATATATATATTTTTTCCTTTATTTAAGGATGATCTTGGGGGGTGTGTAGTGCTTTCTTATTTATTTATTTTTTTATTGAAGTAGAGTTGATTTACAATGTTGTTACAATCTCTGCAGTACAGCAGAGTGACTCAGTTATACACGTACAGACCTTTTTTTTAAATATTCTTTTCCATTATGGTTTACCACAGGATATTGAATATAGTTCCCTGAGCTGTACATTAGGACCTTGTTATTTATCCATTCTAAAGTAACAGTTTGCATCTACCAATCCCAAACTCCCAGTCCATCCCTCTCCCTCCCCCACTCCCATGTGTGTAGTGATTGCTGGAAGAGTCATTTGGATCATTCTTTTAATTCATTCATGTATTGAGATGTGAGCAAGACACTGCATTGTTAACAACTGCTTCTGGGACTCCAGGTGGTATTAGGATGGAAGGAATTTACCTCAGTTGCTGGACTACCTTGTGTGCAATTAAGCTTTTTATTTACAAAGGTCATGGCAGGATTAGGAAAGCAGAATTATTCCCTTTTCAGAGAGGAAAATTGAGGTTTGCCTGGAGAGATGAGTAACTTAGCGACAGTAGCAAATCAAGGAGATGGCAACAACCTGTTTCTTTGACCGAACTTACACTGCCTGTGTCTCTCCTGACCCTTCAGTCTAATGACCCTGCTGTACCATCAAGGTAAAATTCGTGAGGTATCACAAAACTATAAAAAAGAAAGTCGGGCTTCCCTGGTGGCGCAGTGGTTGAGAGTCCGCCTGCCGATGCAGGGGACACGGGTTCGTGCCCCGGTCCGGGAAGATCCCACATGCCGCGTAGCGGCTGGGCCCGTGAGCCATGGCCGCTGAGCCTGCGCGTCCGGAGCCTGTTGCTCCGCAACGGGAGAGGCCACAACAGTGAGAGGCCCGCGTACCGCAAAAAAAAAAAAAAAAAAAAGAAAGCCTATCGATATTATGTGTCCATTTGTAATGAAACTTGAGCTTTTTAATCTATTAGTTTGAGTTCAGTAAGTGCTCAAAAGTCTTTCCAGGCATGGATATGGCCTAAGTTGTTCTATTTCTTGATTCCTGACAAGTTACTGGAAGGCATTGTAATTCTGTTGCTATAAGGAGAGCAGAAGTTGTGATCTCACTGCCTGAGAGAATTTGCAAGACGTACGTGATATTTAGGCCAGATGATTATGTAAGGCAGAAAGAAAAGCCAAATGACAGTCTATCCTTGTGGCTCTGTGCCGGCCAGTGCCTCCAAAACAGGAAGTGGAGATCTATGAGTCATTCAAGGGAGGGTGGTGGTGAAAAAGAGGGGAGAAGTCCTTCCAGAGCAGTCATGCTCTAAACAGCCACAACTGCTTCCCCAACATCATCGGGGCTAATTACCAGCAGGCAATTGGGGGGTTTTTTGGCCCGACTGCCTGGTTTGAGCTGGGGGTAGCAGCACCGCCAGCGTGTGACAGGCCGGAGTCTGCCTTGTACGTTGTCAGGGGACAGTGGCTTGGGCACAAGGCGAGCAGGGGCTCTGGGGCCACACTCCCTTCCTTAGCTTGGTGGTCTCGGGTGGATGATACAGGCTGTGGCTGGGCTCTCTTAATGCTAGTGTCTCCCACACTTGCCAGCTTACAAGTGTACCTGGGGTGCTTTATCAGCTGTATGAATTCTCAGACTCCACTGGAGATTTTGATTCAGTAGATCTGGGATGGGGGCTGGGAATTTGTACAATTATCAGGCAACTCAGGTGATTATGATCATGCTAATTGGGGATACCGCTTTATGCGTCATGAATGGTGCCTCTACTGGGCAACGTTCAGAACCAAAAGAGTTCAGGTGAGCCTTGAACTTGCACTTGCATATCACCACCTACATGGAAAGGTGAGAGGGACTTGAAGATGTGCTTACGGACAGCATGGAGTCTGCTGCCTATTTACTTTCTTACCTGCGGCCATGATTCATAGGGATGTCTTCAAGTCCCCAGGAAAGTTTGTTGTTATAAGTGTTCCGTTGTCGGCAGTGGAGGCTTAGTAAATGTTTACTGGTGATGGCAGTGACAAGTCATTGCCCTGCAGACTTTACTTTGTCCCTTTTGTAGAAAGCCCTATGCTGAAAGTGAACCCAGAAACTTTGTGGAAATCAGGGGCCTGAGGACACCTAGGAATTTGGGGAGCCTGGTTGGTGGATAGTTTCCAAATCCAACACCTGCTGTTGGGGAGGACTCCCTTTTCTTAACCTAGTAACTCATGAGCTCTTAGGAAGCAGGAGATGGGGCATTAGGAATGCGGAGCAGGAAGCGTATACTTATTGGTAAAATAGAATTATGTGTGCTAATGAGTTTTGGAAATTACCCTAATCGTATTTGGTGCTGATGCATGTTTTTCTTCTTTACTGAAATTTCAACTCAAGAAACATTAGTGAGGAATCAGTCACAGCCAAAGAGCTGTGCAAGGATTTGCAAGGATACAAGAGTAAATCATTCAATAAAGACGCAGACGTAGAGAATGGACTTGAGGACACGGGGAGGGGGAAGGGTAAGCTGGGACAAAGAGAGTGGCATGGACATATATACACTACCAAATGTAAAATAGATAGCTAGTGGGAAGCAGCCGCATAGCACAGGGAGATCAGCTCGGTGCTTTGTGTCCACCTAGAGGGGTGGGATAGGGAGGGTGGGAGGGAGGGAGACGCAAGAGGGAGGAGATATGGGAACATATGTATATGTATAGCTGATTCACTTTGTTATAAAGCAGAAACTAACACACCATTGTAAAGCCATTATACTCCAACAAAGATGTTAAAAAAAAAAGCACCCCTATGAACTTAAAAAAAAAAAAGAGTAAATCATTCAAATCCCTGCTATCAAGCCTGATAGAAAAAGCAGACATCCCAACACCTACTATACTAGAGGCAGGACATGAGTCCCAAATAGATGGGAATAAAAAGAAAGGCGTGATTCATTCTCAGAGTGTTTTTTTTTTTTTTAACATCTTTATTGGAGTATAATTGCTTTACAATGGTGTGTTAGTTTCTGCTTTATAACAAAGTGAAACAGTTATACATATACATATGTTCCCATGTCTCTTCCCTGTTGCATCTCCCTCCCTCCCGCCCTCCCTATCCCACCCCTCTATGTGGTCACAAAGCACTGAGCTGATCTCCCTGTGCTATGCGGCTGCTTCCCGCTAGCAATCTATTTTACGTTTGGTAGTGTATATATGTCCATGCCACTCTCTCACTTTGTCACAGCTTACCCTTCCCCCTCCCCATATCCTCAAGTCCATGCTCTAGTAGGTCTCTCAGAGTGTTTTTGTTCTTACACTTCCTTTCACTGACAGATTTTGTATTTGGTGGGATAAATAATACTAAAACACATGACAAAAATGACACCTGGTTGCTAGTTTGTTTCTTTGTCCACATCTAGGGAACATATGAGATTTTCCCTTTCCGGCTCTTTCAGGATATTGTTAGACTAGATGAACTCATGATGATCTGTACTCCATGCTTCTCATTCATTTCACAGGAACTTTGGTATCAGTAGCGAACTGGAGGGAATGTAAATCACGTGAGTTCCGTTTTAGGTACCCCATGTGATTGCGTGGAGCCTTTTTGCAGATTTAGTGCATTAACTCTTGTAGGCATTTGGCCTCCATGTGACTGCTAAACCCTTTCCACAGCTGGGCTTTATTTGCCTATTTGAAAATCACTGATTAGATCAACTTTAAGACACATATACTCAGGTAGTTATACGTGCAGCAACTTCTCCCAGCTAAAGAGGATTTACCGGATAGCCATCTGCAGCCAGAACTTGGAGAGATCCCTCACCCAGTGTCATCTGGCATTAACACTGCTGGTTCCAACTGGAGTTCCATGACGGTGGGAGCTGTCAGACCGTAAATCCCACACGGGCAAGGACTTTTATCCAGTGTTGCATCTCCAGTGTCTAGAAAAGTGTTGATCTCATAGCAGGTGCTCAACAAATACGAATAAATGAATGAACGAATCCCCCAAGCAAGGATCTGATAGACATTTTCTTTTCTCTTCCAGTTCATATCAGGTGTTAGTGCTTCCCCTGGCCCTCCAAAGCACATTTGTTTGTGATTCTGAAGAGGCTACCTCATTCTTTAGCAATGCTTCTGGTGCTGATGGATATGTGACGGCAGAACTGCTGGCCAAGGATGTTCCCGATGATGCCATGGAGATATCTATCGGAGACAGGCTGTACTATGGGAAATATTATAATGCACCCTTGAAAATAGGGAATGATTACTGCATTATATTACGAATCACAAGTGAATGGAATAAGGTATATTTCTTTAAAAACTCTTGTGAATTCTATATTTTCCTCTTCATGTGAAAGTTAAATATTTGCACATTTTTCCCAATATTTGAGATGAACACTGCTTGTAAGAACAATAAGAACGTGTTGAATCTTTTCACTTTATAAAGGATGAGCAGGTGAAACCTTTTTGGAGGTTGATGTTCTGAACTTGCTGGGGGACCTGTTTGGACTGAACTAGTTGGGGTTCTTCTTTAAGAAGCTTCAAGAATGCCCTCATCCTATTGCACTGCTGAAGCCCGAGTTGGAGAGGAACATCTAGATCTTTCTGTCACTTCCCCATACTCCTGCCAGACTGCTGCCTCTCCTCATTCTCCAGGAAGCCAGCAGGAGGGGCAGATTAAGTTCAGCACTATTTTCTGGCTCTATTTTCTGCTTCCGTTATTTCCTTGGCTATTGCGTAAGCCTCACTCTCCTCTCTCCGTCCTTAGAAAGGCTATGTTTTTCCAGTGCTGGTTCTTTCTTGAGACATACAACGACATATTCATTACAGAATGAATAGATGAGGACTTCCCTGGCAGTCCAGTGGTTAAGACTCCGTGCTTCCAATGCAGGGGGGCGTGGGTTTGATCCCTGGTCAGGGAACTGAGATCCCATCTACCATGCAGTGTGGCCAAAAAAAAAAAAAGAATAGATAAATATAATGAGCTAGACATAGCAAGAGCTGGATGGGTCAGTCAAGGGTGGAAGATCTAGAAGAAACATTGTGATGGTTGCCCTAGGAGGACTCAAGGTTTGGTATCAATTCATATTGGTTGGTAATGGAAACTAGAAAAAATAATATTAATAGAAACATCTCTTGACTGATGAATTTGAGCCATCTTGCGTGTAAGGTTCATCACATATTTAAAACTGAAACACGCAATTAAATTCTGTATAGGACACAAGTTACATGTGCCATTATCATGCTTGATATAAAACTAAGAATATGTCCAAGTAGCAAAAAGTTCTGGTGGTGTTTTGTGGCAATTACGTAGGGATTAAGAATTGGAAGACTAAAGTCCAGAATATATTGCCCTGAATTTGTTCCAAAGGTGTTTATGACTTAGACAAGGCCTCCTTGCTGGAAAATTACCCGGAGATCCTGACTTGGTGTTTCTAGCCATAGACAACACGGGCAGTACCATATGTGTGCAACTTAGAGATTGCTCAGAGAGCTGCTGTCTCAGATTGAGACTTTGGTCTGGGAGGGTGTATTAGTTATCTTGGGCTGCCATTTCAAAATACCATAGACTGCGTGGCTTAAACAACAGACATTTATTTCTCATAGTTCTGGAGACGGGAAAGTCCAAGATTAAGGTGCAGGCTACTTTGGTTCCCCGGGGAAGACCCTTTTCCTGGCTTGCAGACAGCTGCCTTCTTGCTGTGTCCTCATGTGGTGGGGACTGAGTGAGCTCTGATCAGTCTTCCTCATCTTATGGACCCTGATCCCATCATGTGGGCCCTACCCTCATGACCTCATCTAAACCTAATTGCATTCCAAAGGCCCTACCTCCAAATAACATCACATTGAGGGTTAGGGCTTCAATATGGATCAATATCAATTTGGGGCACAAAGGGAATGAAGTGGGAGATTATGATAAGAATTCTAGTTTATAGGGAACTTTCCTGTGATGTCATTGATGCCTCTTTTTCATACAGCTAAGCGGAACACGTGCTTGTTCTTTGAAATAATTTATATTTGGACTCACATATTTGAATTGCTATTACTTCCCCTGTGGGTTTCAAATATATTAGTGTTGCAGACATATTAAAATCAGTAGTGATTTATTTATTTATTTTTCTTTTTAAAACAGCTTTACTGAGATGCGATTCATATAATTCTAAAGTGTACAATTCAATGGTTTTTAATATATTTACAAGATGGTGGTAATGCAACAATCACCATCTAATACTCAGACATTTAGCAGTGATAATTTTTAATATTTATTTTTAATTGTGGTAAAATACACATAAAATTTACCATCTTAACAATTTTTAAACTAACAATTTGGTAGTGTCGAGTACACTTACACTGTTAAGAAACCAATCTTCAGAACTTTTCATCTTGCAAGACTGAAACTCTGTACCCATTAAACAACTCCCCATTCCTCCTCTTCTTCCCCAACTCCTGGCAACTACCCTTTTACTTTCTGTCTCTATGAATTTGACTAGTTACCTTGTATAAGTAGACTCATACAGTATTTATCTTTTTGTGATTGTCTTATTTCATTTAGCATAATGTCTTCAAGGGTCACTCATGCTGTAGCATGTTTCAGAATTTCCTTTCTTTTTAAGGCTGAATAATATTCCATTGTACGTATGGATAAACATTTTGTTTATCCATGATCTGTAGATGGACACTTGGGTTGCTTCCATCTTTTGGCAATTGCAAATAATGCTCCTGTGGCCATGGGTGTTCCAATATCTCTTTGAGTCTCTGCTTTCACTTCTTTTGGGTATACACCCTCAAGTGGAATTGTTGGATCGTTTGGTAATTTTATTAATTCTTTTTGAAGATCCCCATACAGTTTTCCATAGCCACTGCACCATTTTACACTCCCACCGACAGTGTACAAGCATTCCATTTTCTCCACATCCTCCCCAACACTTGCTGTTTTCTGTTTTAATGATGGCCTTCCTAATGGATGTCTGGTGGCTTCACATTGTGGTTTTGGTTTGCATTTCCATAATGATTTATGATGTTGAGCTTGTTTTCAGATACTTTTGACAATTTGTATATCTTCTTTGGAGAAATGGTTATTCAAGTCCTTTGCCCATCTTTGAAGTGATTTATTTCTTTGTTGTTGAGTTTTAGGCGCTTGCTATATATTCTGGATACGTGATTTACCAATATTTTCTCCCATTATGTGAGTTGCCTTTTTACTCTGTTGATAGTGTCCTTTGATGCACAAAAGTTCTTCATTTTGATGAAATCCAATTTGCCTATTTTTTCTTTTGTCGCCTATGCTTTTGGTGTCATATCTAAGAAATCATTGCCAAATGTAATTTCCCAAAGCTTTTCCTTTGTGTTTTCTTCTAAGAGTTTTAAGTCTTATATTTAGGCTTGATCCATTTTGAGTTAATTTTTGTATATGGTGTTAGGTAATGGTCCTACTTCATTCTTTTGCATGTGGTTATCCAGTTTTCCCAGCACGATTTTTTTGAAGATTTCCTTTGCCCATTGAATGGTCTAGGTACTCTTGTCAAAAGTCATTTGAGGGGGGCTTCCCTGGTGGCACAGTGGTTGAGAATCCGCCTGCCGATGCAGGGGACGCGGGTTCGTGCCCCCGTCCGGGAAGATCCCACATGCCGCGGAGCGGCTGGGCCCGTGAGCCGTGGCCGCTGAGCCTGCGCGTCCGGAGCCTGTGCTCCGCAACGGGAGAGGCCACAGTGGTGCGAGGCCTGCGTACCGAAAAAAAAAAAAAAAAAAAGGTCATTTGAGGGAATTCCCTGGCGGTCCAGTAATTAGGACTCCACGCTTCCACTGCAGGGGGCATGGGTTCGATCCCTGGTCGGGGAACTAAGATCCTGCATGCTGTGAGGCACAGCCAAAAAAAAAAGTCATTTGATATATATGCAAGAGTTTATTTCCGGGCTCTCTATACTATTCCATTGGTTTGTATGTCTGTCTTTAGACCAGTACCACACTTTTTTTTATTATTATTACTTTTTATTGCAGTATAGTTGATTTACAATGTTGTGTTAGTTTCTGCTGTACAGCAAAGTGAATCAGTTACACATATACATATATCCACTCCTTTTTAGGTTCCTTTCCCATGTAGGTCATTACAGAGTATTGAGTAGAGTTCCCTGTGCTATATACTAGATTCTTAGTACCACACCATTTTGATTACTGTAGCTTTGTAAATCAGGAAGTGTGAGTTTTCCAGTTCCCCTTTTTGTTTTTCCTTCTGTATATCTGTCCCAATAAACATCATTACCATGTTCCCAGTTGTCAAGACAGAAATCTAGGAATAATTCTTGTCTCCTCCCTTTTTTCTTATCTTCTTGTGCAGTCCATCATTAAATTGTGTCAATTCTATCACATTAATGCCATTTAAGATCATCCTTTCCTCTCTTTCATTAACACTGCTTAGCTTTTGACATCTCTTGTCTGAACATCAATTTTCTAACTCATTTTCTTGTCTCTTATTCTACCTATCTCCTTGCTCCATACTACTGCCATCATGTATTTCATAAAATGCACATCTGATCAAGGCACTCCATTTTAATGAACTCCCTTCTTCACCTTGCCATTTCAATTTCTCTCTTTTAATACACTCAGTTCCCTAGTAACTGCCTTGCTGTCTGAGGTCCTTTTTCTTCCTCAGTGTCTTGAACTATACCCTTCACTGGTTACTCTTGCATATTATCTTTTATTTTAATTAATTAATTATTTAATTAACATCTTTTTTGGAGTATAATTGCTTTACAATGGTGTGTTAGTTTCTGGTTTATAACAAAGTGAATCAGTTTTACATATACATATATCCCCATATCTCCTCCTTCTTGTGTATCCCTCCCACCCTCCCTATTCCACCCCTCTAGGTGGTCACAAAGCACCAAGCTAATCTCCCTGTGCTATGTGGCTGCTTCCCACTAGCTCTGTTTTACATTTGGTAGTGTATATATGACCATGCCACTCTCTCACTTTGTCCCAGTTTACCGTTCCCCCTCCCCGTGTCCTCAAGTCCATTCTCTATGTCTGCGTCTATTTTCATGTCCTGTACCTAGGTTCTTCAGAACCTTTTTTTTTTTTTTAGATTCCATATATATGTGTTAGCATACAGTATTTGTTTTTCTCTTTCTGACTTACTTCACTCTGTATGACAGCTCCATCCACCTCACTACAAATAACTCAATTTCGTTGCTTTTTATGGCTGAGTAATATTCCATTGTATATATGTGCCACATCTTCGTTATCCATTCATCTGTCAATGGACACTTAGGTTGTTTCCATGTCCTGGCTATTGTAAATAGAGCTGCAATGAACATTGTGGTACCTGACTCTTTTTGAATTATGGTATTTTCAGGGTATATGCCCAGTAGTGGGATTGCTAGGTCATATATGGTAGTTCTATTTTTAGTTTTTTAAGGAAACTCCATACTGTTCTCTATAGTGGCTGTATCAATTTACATTCCCATCAACAGTGCAAGAGGGTTCCCTTTTCTCCACACCCTCTCCAGCATTTATTGTTTGTAGATTTTTTGATGATGGCCATTCTGACCAGTGTGAGGTGATACCTCATTGTAGTTTTAATTTGCATTTCTCTAATGATTAGTGATGTTGAGCATCCTTTCATGAGTTTGTTGGCAATCTGTATATCTTCTTTGGAGAAATGTCTATTTAGGTCTTCTGCCCATTTTTGGATTGGGTTGTTTGTTTTTTGATATTGAGTTGCATGAGCTTCTTGTAAATTTTGGAGATTAATCCTTTGTCAGTTGTTTCATTTGCAAATATTTTCTCCCATTCTGAGGGTTGTCTTTTTGTCTTATTTATGTTTTCTTTTGCTGTGCAAAAGCTTTTAAGTTTCATTAGGTCCCATTTGTTTATTTTTGTTTTTATTTTCATTTCTCTAGGAGGTGGGTCAAAAAGGATCTTGCTGTGATTTATGTCATAGAGTGTTCTGCCTATGTTTTCCTCTAAGAGTCTTATAGTGTTTGACCTTACATTTAGGTCTTTAATACACTTTGAGTTTATTTTTGTGTATGGTATTAGGAAGTGTTCTAATTTCATTCTTTTACATGTAACTGTCCAGTTTTCCCAGCACCACTTACTGAAGAGGCTGTCTTTTCTCCACTGTATATTCTTGCCTCCTTTATCAAAGATAAGGTGACCATATGTGCGTGGGTTTATCTCTGGGCTTTCTATCCTGTTCCATTGATCTGTCTTTCTGTTTTTGTGCCAGTACCATACTGTCTTGATTACTGTAACTTTGTAGTATGGTCTAAAGTCAGGGAGCCTGATTCTTCCAGCTCCGTTTTTCTTTCTCAAGATTGCTTTCCTATTAGGGTTTTTTTTGTGTTTCCATACAAATTGTGAAATTTTTTGTTCTAGTTCTGTGAAAAATGCCATTGGTAGTTTGATAGGGATTGCACTGACTCTGTAGATTGCTTTGGGTAGTATAGTCATTTTCACAATGTTGATTCTTCCAATCCAAGAACATGGTATATCTCTCCATCTGTTTGTATCATCTTTAATTTCTTTCATCATTGTCTTATAGTTTTCTGCATACAGGTCTTTTGTCCCCTTAGGGATGTTTATTCCTAGGTATTTTATTCTTTTTGTTGCAGTGGTAAATGGGAGCGTTTCCTTAATTTCTCCTTCAGATTTTTCATCATTAGTGTATAGGAATTGCATGTTATCTTTTATTAAATGCACTTGATGCACTAAGCATCAAGGCAAAATTTAGTCACGTTCAAAACCTTGTGGACATTTTAAGCTTTTCCCAGAATTTATCAGTGTAAATATAGTTTTTCAATTTTTAATAAAATAAACCCAGAATGACTAAGCTTGTCACTTGAAAGAGAATTACTTAATGAAGTTGAAGGAATCTTTCTTTAACCTCTACTATTTGGTTTCCTCTGGGGAATTTTTTGCTGACTTGTATCATAAATCAGTGGTAATCCTAGCATTCCTAACAGACAAATATGCCTATAATATCAGCAGGGGAGAAGAAGAGAAGGTATTTCATGCCAATGAGTTTGTGGGTTGCTTCTACCACGGATGAGCTTTCATACATGTTCCTTTAGCTTTCTTCCTGGTTCTTGGCTATGTTTTGGGTAACTGAGTTTGCCTGGGAAATATCATCTAGAGAAGTGAAGTATTTGTATATACCAGGCCGTCTCATAGCCTTGCACATAACATGCATTACTACTTCTTGCTGAACCTGGATGTGACCCCAGAATCCTTTTCAACATACTGTAGTTCTCCAGGCAGTCAGTGCCAGTTGCTGAGAGCTGACAAGGGGCATGGAACTTACCACCATCCCTGCTCTTTCCTCATAGCATCTGCTTCCTGAGATACATTGGAAAGCTTTAGGGTCATCCATTCCTAAGATCACTTCTGTCTCTGCTGCCCACGCCAGTCCTTTTGAACACTTGGTGATCATAAGGCTAAATTGTAAGATGTTAGAGCTAGAAGAGATTTTAAAGATCGTTTGGTCCAAAATAAGAGATAAAACCCTGCAACTTGGAGGGCTAAAGTGTGTTATTTAAACTGAAATCACATGCCACCCAATTATATGTGTTGCTGTGTTTTCCTTTATAGGTGAGAAGAAGCTCCTGTGCAGTTTGGGCTCAGGTAAAAGGTAAAACCATTTTCTGCCTAAGACTGTTCTCCTTATTTCTCCTCTGTCCACTCTGCAGCATCAAGTGTATGTTAATGAGATTTCTTTTTAAATTGTCACAGGTGACAAAAACACATCTCAGACTAGCCTACAAAAAACCCTAGCTGAAAAGGATGAGGGGTGGGAACTTATGGAATTAGAACCAGAGTGGCATCACCAGGCCTCCAGAAACTGGGACTTGGGACTCAACACCAGAAGTAGGACTGTCCCTTTCTATCTGTCTCTATCTCCTCTCTAAGTGTGAGTTGGCCTCATTTTCTTCTACTATAAGCTACGTGGTGGTGGTGGTTGGGGGGGAACCAGCTGCCCCAGCTTAGCCACTTCAGTGGGAACAGACAGTTTTTCAATTCAGGGAGTCTCTTCTCCTAGCTAAGTGACTCTCCATTGGATGAATCACTATTAAGAGGAGATAGGGTAGTATGATTAGCCTACCTTGGGTTTGGGGCTTACTGGTATGGCTGGTTGGGGGCAGATCGATGTGATCAGCAACCTCACCAGGGTTGCATCGAGAGGGGGACATGATCCCCATCAGGAAGAGGCACGGAAAACCATGCTGGCAGACCAAAACAAAGAGCCACCAGGAGTCCACTACTCTCAACCATTCGGCTGCTTAGCACGTGCACACACACACACATACACTGTTTAGAAAAGCACCCTCCATTAAGAAAGTGAAATTATCCTCCATACAACCAAAACTGGAACCCAAGGAGAAGACAGCTCAAAGGTGGGTCTCTTACTGAATCCAGCTCCAAGACCAGGGTTCCTGGGGGTGATCCGTCTCTCTTGATCCAATTAATCTAACTGTGCTTCTCATGATCTGTTAGCAATCTATGATTAATGGCAAACTTAACCATTCTCAAACCACAGTATATAATATGAAAGGGAAAGGTGGATAATCACAATCAGTACGTTCATTTAGAAAGGAAGAAAAGATAAAGAACCGTGCAGTGGCCAGGGGGCCCATAACAAGGACCACATCCTGCTGGACAGGAAAGGCAAGCACCTCCTGCCCTGGCAGCAGAACGGGTCACTTGGTCAGTTAGTTTGGCTGCCTCGGGCTCTGCCTGATGGGAGAGCAGCCTTGTCCCTTTCCTCCAGAGCCTTCCCTAAGAGAGGCAGAGAGAAGGAGCCCCACTGAGTGCCTACAACTGAAACCGTCTGCTTCATGGGGGCAGTTATCTGGGTGGCGGAGTTGCCTCAGGGGTTGAGCAATCGCAGGTCCTTGTTTGCCAGGCTGGGATTCCCCTGGCAGTACATTTCTTTAAACCAGCCGGCAGCCAGCCACTGGATTTGATTCATAAGAATTCCATTAGTTTGTAGCTAATACCAGAAATCTTGTCAAGTTTATGACCTTTTGAGTCTGGAACTTTTCCTTGTGGTTCACGAATCCTAGCAACAGCCTGAGGAATTCTGCTCTTAGCCCAGAGTATCGGTTTAACTCCTTACATCCTGTCCCTCACCTCAGAGCATCATAAAACAATAGGCTGGGGTGCTTCCCAGGAGGGTCCAGTGGATGGTGCCTTACAATTGGGGGGTTTGTTACCCTGTGTGTAGAGGGCACCTAGCAGGAAATGTTTGGGAGGAACCTGGAGAAATAAGCTTCCTTCGTTTTCTGCTTATCCCCTAATCTCATTTCCCATGTCTTTATCTCTACTCACACCAAATTCAACAAGGGTAGGGGGCATGGATTTTCAACTGGGCAAGGCACATTACCTGACTGTCAGCCAGCCTGGATTGAAGATTGCCAGGCCGCAAGGGCCTCTCTCTCTTTTTTCAATTTTCTTGAGAAAATAATTTACATATAACGTCGTGTGAGTTTAAGGTGTACAATGTGATGATTTGATTCACGTACTTATTGCAAAATGATTACCGCAGTAAGGTTAGTTAATACCTCCATTACCTCACATAATCACCATATATATATGTAATTTATGTATATAGGTGTATGTATATATTTATATATATAATTTGTGTATATGTATGTGTGAATATTTAAGATCTACTCTCCTAATATCTTTCAAGTGTGCAGTACAGTACTGTTAACTACAGTCAACATGCTGTACATTAGAATATGTCCCAGAACTTAATTATCTTACAACTGGAAGTTTGTACCCTTTGACCATCATCTCCCCATTTCCCCCACCCCCAGCCCCTGGCAACCACCGTTCTATTCTCTATTTCTATGAATTCAGCTTTTTTAGATTCCATGTATAAGTGAGATCATTCTGTATTTGTCTTTCTCTGTCTGACTTATTTCACTTAACATCATAAGTGAGGGCCTCTTTTTTCTTTTTTTGCATTTTCTCGCTATATATTTTTAACATCTTTATTGAAGTATAATTGCTTTACAGTGGTGTGTTAGTTTCAGCTGTATAACAAAGTGAATCAGCTATACATATACATATATCCCCATATCTCCCCCCTCTTGCGTCTCCCTCCCACCCTCCCTATCCCACCCCTCTAGGTGGTTACAAAGCACCAAGCTGATCTCCCTGTGCTATGCGGCTGCTTCCCGCTAGCTATCTACTTTACATCTGGTAGTGTATATATGTCCATGAGTGAGGACCTCTCTTAACAAAGATGTGCGCTCTTACATTTCTGCGTGCAGATAGACTAAGCCCCCTTTCCTAGAATTGAATGATGGCCACAAAAAACAATCATGCATTCCGACATCTGGAAATTTTTCTGCCAATCCATTCCCTGCAGCTTTAAGGGCGGGATGGAGTTCCTACAGGAAAAGAGGTGCTTTTACCAGAAGAATGGAGATGTGCAAGCATCATGGACAGGCACAGATACAATAGCTTCCAGAATCCACTGCTTTCAGCAGCTGTTCAGTGTGATTAACAGACTCAAACTGGGTAGAAGTAATGGCCAAAGAGCTGGCTACAGTCATTCTACTGTGATTAAGTTAACAGGAAGGATTTTGCTTTGGAAATATCTAAGTGGCTTTTGGCCGCGCGTTTTTCCCCTCATGTTGAAAGAGAGTCTGAACCTTTGAATTCAAGCTACTGGAAAGAGCTGAGATAATAGAAAGCCCAGTTATGTTGAAATTATGAAGGCAGCTCGAGCGGGTATACATCTACATACAGAATGGGTTGTGCGCTCACCTGGCAGTCTCCTTTTGCCAAAATTTTGGAGCCTGCCATTTCAGAAAGTAATTTGGAGAGAACTAGAATCCAAATAAGTCCTCAAATTGTTTCAGTTTCACTCATGCCAAGCAACAGCCCCATTCTTGCCTTTGCCCTCTGATGAATTATGCTACCTACCTTTCGCACATTGCCCCTAAAAGAGCTTTGTGATGACTCTCAGGGAGCCAGCAGTCGGTTTGATGGGAAGTGCAGAGGCCTGGGCTTCTTTGCCCGAGTCCTGCTACTAATCAGCTGAGTGTCTTAGAAATTATATTTAACTTGGCTGGTTCTCTGTTGCCTTCCTCCAAAATCTCTGCGATCCCTTCCAGCCACAAAGTACTATGATACTGTGCTTTCTTGAGTCACAGAGCAAGGTCATTTGATATACGTGAGATGATGATAAACTGTCATCAGGGAACATCCGCTAGTCATAGGCCTGAAAGCTCTGAGTCATTAGTGACTACTCCTCTTTCCCATTTAGCCCACATTTTGCACTTGGGCAGACCTCTCTGATTGTCATTTCTGTGTTCACTCCCTGAGCAGAGGCCTTTGGATGGCTGGCCAAGCCTCTTTCTCCTCTCCCATCAGTGTTCAGGTTTCCCTCTTCACTCGAGCCTACACTACCCCCTGACATGTTCCCTCCACAGTTCTCCAGTATTTCTTTTTCTTCTTTCCAAGGCCTCAGTTGGACACCAATGTACCCTTCTGATTGCATCTCTCATTCTTCTCCATTCAAGGCGATGTGGCAGCTCTTCTCTGGATATGGCCCTTGCTTTCTCTCCTTAATGTCTTGCTCATACGATTATGTACTTACTTCCACCTGGATTGCCCTATAACCTTCCTGTAATTTCTGTTTATTACAACCCCACCTGTTCTTCAAGATTAAAATCAATGCCATCTCCTCCTTGACACTTTTTAAAATTTCCTCAACAGGGCAGGATCTCTCTCCCTCCCTCTCTTTAGCCATTCTGCCACACTTTTGAGTCACTGGCATACTTGTTTTTTCTTACTAGATTTCATACGCTTGAGAGAGAGCATTTGAAGGCTGGAGCAGTGCCTGGCACACAGTAGGTCTCAGTCAGAATTTATTGAATTGAGTTGAATGATTACTGGGGAACCAACAGCACAGTCTGGTGAGAAAAGAAGCATAGTGGGTGCAATACTTATCAAATAAGCCAGAGAAGATTAACATCAATGTATAAGCTTAGTGTGTACATTATCTATGAATATGCTATGTGCATGCATGTATACACATATACACTCACACTCATTTTATTTTATTTTTTTAACATTTTTATTGGAGTATAATTGCTTTACAATGTTGTGTTAGTTTCTGCTATATAACAAAGTGAATCAGCTATATGTGTACATATATCCCCATATCCCCTCCCTCTTGCGTCTCCCTCCCACCCTCCCTATCCCACCCCTCTAGGTGGTCACAAAGCACTGAGCTGATCTCCCTGTGTGATGCAGCTGCTTCCCACTAGCTAGCTATTTTACATTTGGTAGTGTATATATGTCCATGCTACTCTCTCACTTCGTCCCAGCTTACCCTTCCCCCTCCCCGTGTCCTCAAGTCCATTCTCTATGTCTGCATCTTTATTCCTGTCCTGCACCTAGGTTCTTCAGAACCTTTTTTTTTTTTTTAGATTCCATATATATGTGTTAGCATATGGTATTTGTTTTTCTCTTTCTGACTTACTTCACTCTGTATGACAGACTCTAGGTCCATCCACCTCACTACAAATAACTCAATTTCATTTCTTTTTATGGCTGAGTAATATTCCATTGTATATATGTGCCACATCTTCTTTATCCATTCATCTGTCGATG